TGCGGCCCGGCTGCCTGCCCAGGTTGCTAGGGAACCGGATGCTGCCGCCGGAGCCGGGCTGCTGGCGCTTGGCATCTGCCGCCCGGGCAGGCGGCGCCGCGCTGTCCCCACTCCGGCCCGGCCCGCTGCTGGGACAACGTCGGGCGCATCGTGATGAGAGCGTCGGGCTCCGCGTAAACTAATTGTGTTGCAAGGAGCGGAGCGAAGCTTTCAGATTTCAGAGCCGACGTGTGGCATCTTTATTAATGTGCCTACTCGAGCTCCCTGGGACGCGATGTTTTCTCCTCACCCCGGCTATCTATCTGAACTGATAATAGGACTATTAATCCATTTTGTTGACAGGACTCCCAGACCTCCAGCGAGGCGGGAGCGGGGCAGGGGTGGGGCTGGAATCGATCCTTGCTTTTCTCCTGCGGGAGCCAGTCACCATCTCTGGCAAACTAAATACTGAGAATTAACCGAGGGCGAAAGTATGAAGTATGGGCCAAGGTTACTGGTGCCGTGCAGCTGGCCAGATGTTGCATTGCAGGTCTTTGCTCACACACAGTGCTGAGGCGTCCTGGAGAAATTCGCTGGGATACGAACAGCTCTGCAGAAGCAAAAGCTGCAAGAGACCCTGGTCCAGGGCTTGTCACACGGGACAGGGACACCAAACACCGGTGGGGTGGGGTCTGCCACCCACCTGCTCGGTAGCCTTGGGCCAGTCACTTAACCCAGCTCTTACCCTCTCCTCTCTAACTATATTGAGGTCGTTTCTCAGATTTCAGGGGCTCCTCCCTGAGCGGCTGTAAGGTGTCCCCGAGTGCCCGGCTCAGTGTTCCTCATGTCAGTTATCTCCTTTGCGGTGGTAACAGAAATGCGTATATGCAATAAATAAAAATTGCAGTCCTTTAATATGTGATTTCGTAAGGAAATCTTTCAGCAGAGAAAAAGCTGGCCACTTAGGTGTGTGCCTGCCTAGCTTGTGCTCCTGCACACTTCCCCTGTCAGTGACTGATCCCGAGTGCCTTTATATTCAGACTGATCCTGTCTGGTTTTAAATATCTCCAGCCACAGAACTTTTTCCCTCCAGGGAATCACGCCGCAGCCTCATAATTTTCAGTGTCAGCAGAGGGGTTTTTTTCCCCTGTGACATTCAACCTAAATGTTCCATTTCTTCATTTCCTTCATCCCTTCTGGTGATGCCCCTTGTACTGTATTAAATAATTCTTTCCCTCCCTCTGTGTTTACACCAACCAGATCTGTAAGGCTCCTATTTTCTCTCCCTGTGGACAGCTCTTAGCCAAGCAATATATGTATTTAAGCCTTTTAATCTTCCTTCAGAAATCAGTCTCTCCAAGTCTTTGATCACTTGCGTTGCTTCCCCCTGAACTGCCGGCAATTTGTCTATGCAAAGGGAGCCCCGCGCTCCCCGCCCGGCCGCGCCTGGGCCTCCCCGCGCCATCTCTCTGCCTTCTGACGTGCAGCTCCGCACCCCAGCGGCTCTTCCCTCTCCTCTTCCTGGGCCCAAGGCACCGAACCCCAAACGCTTCCTCTTTCCAGGGTCCCTTCAGCCTTGCCGGGGCAGCAGAGGTGCTGCCTGCCTTGCTCGGCCCTCTTGCTTTCCAGTGCGCCCCTTTCAGCTGTCAGCTGGCCCTTGCACTCGCTTCCCAGATGTACTCACTTGCATTTGTCCAAGGCACATTGCATTTTGCTTTTTCCTGCCCATGTTTCTAATCTCACTAGGCCCCTTTGTGTTAATTTTCTATGCTTGCCGGAGCTCACAGCACCTCCCAGTATAGCATCATCTGCCAAATTCATTAATGTGCAGTTTACTCCCTCTTTCCAGGTCATTAATGAGAGTATTAAATGAGAGCAGACCTAACCTAGATCCCTGCAGTACCCCATAAACACCTCCCCCTGTTTCTAATTACCCTTTGTTTATGATCCTTCAGCCAGTTTTTCAATCCGCATGGCACAGTTCAAGTCATCAGAATTAATTTTTCCAAGGAAGACTTTGCGAGCACAGCTGCTGAGGTTTCACCCACTTGCGCCGTCCCTACCTGCTGCCTCTCTGACTTTTCGTCCCCTGCTCTCTGGCCACAGCAACTCACGGCGCTGCCGCCCGAGGAAGGCAAGGAGCACATAACAGACGGCTTTCTCCTCTTGCTTGCGCTCTGCAAACCCCAAATGCCTCCCAGGGCCTGGGGAGATGTTTGGCCCAGGCTCCATAGGCCTGGAAGATGACACCAGGGTGGTGGGGAGGCAGGAGGGGAGACTGGGGCCAACCTACGAGGAGGGCTTGGGGCTGTGCAGTGCTGGGGGCTGTAGGGAAGCGAAGACAGTGTGACAAATGGCAGGGACCATGCAGAGGTGGCGGGTTGGTGACCCTTCAGTGGCATGGGCCTGGTGGCCTCTGTGCACTTTGTAGGGATGCTCGATCAGCTGGTGTCCTGTGTGCTCAGGGGGATGCTGTCCTGGGCATGGAGGGGTGTCCAGGGATGGGATGGTGTCCTGGGACAGAGTGGTGTCCTGGGATGGAGTGGTGTCTCGGGACGTGGTGGTGTCCAGAGATGGGGTGGTGTCCGGGGACGGGGTGGTGTCCTGGGAGGGGGGTGGCATCCTGGGACGGAAAGGTGTCTGGGGATGGAGCGGTGTCCCTGGTGGTGTCGGGCCCCGGGATGTGGGAGCCCCACTCGGGGCGTGACCCCGCCAGGGTCCCGGCGGGGCGTGTGGCGGCAGCAGGTCGCGCCGCCCG